CTAAGGTCTCTTTTATCGTGCAGCTTTTTCAGATAAAGTGCTTGTACGGAATTAGTAACTCAGCATTGGAGGCCATACTTAATCTGTTCTCAAAGGTTCTCCCTGAAGGCCATTGTATCCCAGACTCCTTGGATAAAGTGAAAAGGGTGGTACGAGACTTAGGCTTGGACTATATCAAGATACACGCATGTAAGAATGATTGTGTGTTGTTTTTTAAGGAGAACGCAAAGCTGGAGACATGTCCCGTTTGTGGGGAGTCTAGGTGGAGACTTGCTGATAATGAGGTTGCTGATGGTGCTACTGTAAAGAAGAGGTTTCCAGTGAAGATCTTACGCTACTTTCCTCTTATTCCTCGGCTTCAAAGAATGTATATGTCGAAGCAGTTATCAGTGGACATGCAATGGCATAAGAAAGAATTGGTCAACGATAGAAAAATGCGTCACCCTGCTGACTCACCTGCATGGAAGCATGTGGATAAAGAATATAAATTGTTTGCAGAAGAAGGTCGTAATATTAGGCTGGGTCTTGCTTCTGATGGCTTCAATCCCTTTGGGATGCAAAATGTTACATACTCCATATGGCCTGTTATGCTAATACCTTACAACTTGCCTCCATGGTTGTGTCAGAAACAATCTAACTGGTTGTTGTCAATGTTGATACCTGGTCCGAAATCTCCTGGAATGGATATTGATGTATATTTGAGGCCCCTTATATTGGAGCTCAAGGAGCTTTGGGAAAAGGGTGTTCCAACATGGGATGCTGCTACAAGGAAGAATTTTAAATTACATGCTCTTCTACTTTGGACAATTAATGACTTCCCAGCTTATGCTATGCTTTCTGGATGGAGCACGAAAGGAAAGTTTGCATGTCCATACTGCCACAAAGATACTGAATATTTGTGGTTGAAACATGGGAAGAAGCACTGCTACATGGGACATCGACGTTTCTTGCCCTCGGACCATCCATGGCGCAACAACAAGGTCAGCTTCAACAATGAGGTAGAAACCAGGGAGGCACCAGTACCACTGACAGGTGCACAGGTACTTCAGCAGTTTCAAAGTTTTGAACAAGTGATACTTGGGAAGAATGCATCAAAAAAAAGGAAGCGTGACGAAGACCAAAGATGGCACAACTGGAGGAAGAAGAGCATTTTTTTTAGCTCCCTTACTGGTCTTCTTTGCGCATCAGGCATAATTTGGACGTCATGCACATTGAGAAAAATATATGCGAGAGCATATTAGGCACTCTGCTTGAATTGGCTGGTAAATGTAAGGACGGCGAGAAGTCCCGGCTTGACATGGAGCATCTACAGATACGCCCAGATCAGCATCCTGTGATTGAGAATGATAAGTATATCCTGCCACCAGCCTTGTACAAGTTAGATAAGAAGGATAAGGAAATGTTATGCGAATTTCTATATGGAGTGAAGATGCCTGATGGGGTTTCCTCTAATATAAGAAGATGTGTTGACCTAAAATTAAGTAAGGTGTCTGGCTTGAAAACTCATGATTACCATCTAATTCTACAGAAACTGTTACCCTTAGTGGTGCGTAGGATTTTGCCAGAACAAGTTGTCATCGCATTGATTCAGCTTAGTAATTTCTTCGATGCACTATGTTCCAAGGAGCTGGTCGAAGCAGAGTTGGATAAACTTAGCATTTCAATTAGGGAGACTGTTTGTCGACTTGAGATGCTATTCCCACCTTCATTTTTTGATATCATGATGCATTTGCCTATTCATTTAGCTGAAGAGGCTAAACTTGGTGGGCCTGTGTGTTATAGATGGATGTATCCAGTGGAGCGGTACCTACGTACTGCAAAAGGATATGTGTACTGCAAAAGGATATGTGAGGAACAAGGCGTACCCTGAAGGTTCAATAGCCGAGGGATACATATTCGAGGAGTGCCTTACATTTTGCTCAAGATTCTTGGACGTGGACACCAAACTGAATCGTGTTGATCGACATGAAAGTATTGCTGTGAATGAGCCACCATCTGGTCTGAGCATATTTGCTGACATGGATTACAAGAGGAGAGGACAGACTGTTGACATCATTGAAGGAGATGAGATGCGAAAGATGAGGCACTACATAATTTCAAATTGTAATGAAGCTAGCCAATGGATCGAGTAAGTTACGCTACTGAACATCAATATTTTAATTAAAATTATATTTTTTAGACTAACAGTAATATACATTTCTTTGCAGTGCGCATATGGAAGAACTTAAAAAATATGGTACAAGAAACCTTAAAAAGAGACATGAGGAACAATTTGTAAGATGGTTCGAGGCCAAGATCAGGCATCTACATGCGAAAGGGGAAGTAAGTTCAGAGATGTTTGCACTTGCTCAAGGACCGGACGATCGAGCTCGTACATTGCATAGATGCCATATCAATAATTGGCTGTTTCGAACCGTTGACATTGAGAAAAGCCTCGTAACACAAAATAGTGGTGTGCTTGTCAAGGGCGACGGTACTACTGGCAACATGAACTGGTATGGGGTGATTAAAAGAATGATCTCACTAGAATTCCCTGGACAAAAAGAAGTTATTTTGTTCCAGTGTGACTGGTACGATGTGCCTGCTGCCACTAGCAACAGAGGCAGAGGATACAATAAGGATCAATTTGGGGTTATTGATATCGATACTACCCGATACAGGTATACGAATGAACCCTATATTCTGGCAACACAGGCAGAACAGGTGTTTTATGTGAATCTAGTAAACAAACCTGGTTGGAGCAGTGTTATTGCATTGAAACCAAGGGACTTGTTCGCCATGCCTGAATTAGAACTTGAGGACTCAATTGACGTGGGTATTGAAGTCATTAATTCATTCGGTGTACACCAGGATTTGACAAATTGGACAAGATCTGACAAGGAAGGCACAACCGGGGATGTCTCTGTTATTGCTCAGGTGCAGACCGAAGCAGTTGATGAACCAGACGATGCGGTCTTTGATTGTGACGATGAAGATGATGAAGATGACACGTACATTGATGATGGAGTTGTTGCACCAGTTGCTTCTGTGGTACAAGGCGACGATGATGACTTTTTTATTTGATGCTTGTATGATTTTATTTGGCGTATCAAGAGATATTTTTGTTTGCTGTGACAATTAATAATTTATTCTCATGAAACTCACTGAATGCCTTTTTTGGCTCTGCGTATGAGATCCATTTATAGAAGTACAAGCAGGTTCAAGTGATCCAGCAGACATTCTTCTGTGCTCCTGCATGTGCATCCTTCATTTTGCGACAAAATCTCAATGCCAAATACATCATCACTGGACAGTTAGGAAATAGTGAAGAAAATAGGAAAGATTGGCCAAAAGGTCAGCGCCAAATACATCTCCTCACTGCCAAATTTTCCAAAACGTCAGCAGCACATGCACTTTTATAGAAGTACCAGCAACATCCATTTTATAGAAGTACCAGCAACATGCGCCAAGTACAAGCAACGTTTCCAGCACTTGAAACTACAGCTTTTCCATTACCACTAAGATAAACTATTAGATGCCTCTACATTGAGACATTCATTGGTGCTCGATAAACTACTTCAATTTCATTCCATGTCCATTCATCATCTTGCTTTTTATAGCAAGCCGCATCTCCTCAGCCTTATCCATGATCTGTCATTATTTTTCAACGGAATCAGTATTTTCATACATATATAATTGATGTATGGCTAGCTTAAGGGGAGGACCATCACCTCCTTGGTGTGCAGCACTTTCCCAGGGTCCTCATCATCGCTTTCATCCGTGAATGTGCACTTGATTTCCACTTTATCGAATGTGACGACATACTTTGGACGTCGAACCTTCGAATTAATCTTAGTCACATTAAGCCTGTAATGCGAGGATGATGCTCCATGTGTGTTCTGTTCATAACCAAACAAATGTAGTAGCAGGCGATTAGCTATGGAAAGAGCCAACATTGTTCAGAACATAAGTATACAATTCGCAATTTAGGACTAGCTGAGAAAATTGTTCTAGCAGCCACAGACAACACCAAATAAATTGTTCTAGCTGCCGCACCATCTTCCCTGGGCAGAACACCGCAGTGTGTATAGCAGAATCAAATCCTTGCGCTAAAATGAATCTAATCATATGAAACCTAAGAGATACGAAATCAAAATCAATTTGACAGTAACTCGTGAGAACCAAATTAATCAAGCTACGATTCTAACCACTCAACTTTGAAATGCTGACTGCGCACACCTGAAAAATGCCAAGTAATACCAACAGCCATTTGGATTCAAGCATTGCATGTTGGTGCGAGTTCTGCGTGTTCGGTACCTTAGTGGTGCGAGTTGACGATGGGGCGGCCCTAACAGTTGGAACGACGGGCTCGACCTCACTGTCCGAATCCACTGCGATCACGACGGCCAGCGTGTGGACGACGCGGGGTCCGCGCTCCACCTCGGGCTCGACGTCACTATCCGAATCCACTGCGATCACGACGGCCGGTGTGTGGACGACGCGCGGCCCGCGCTCCACCTCGGGCTTCACATCATCTTCCGAATCCACAGGGTCCACGACGGCCGGATTGTCGACGACGCGCGGCCCGCGCTCCACCTTCCTGGAGAAGCGCCCAGCCGCATCGCGCGCCTGCCTCCGGGATATGTGGCTGCGCCTCCGCATCGATGCGGCCGGCGATGGGAGTGCGATGAGGAGGCGATGCGGCCGGGGATGGGAGGGCGATGTGGAGGCGATGCAGCTGGGGATGGGATGGCGATGGGGGAGGCGATGCGGCAGCCGGCGATGGGATGGCGATGGGGGAGGCGATGCGGCAGCCGGCGATGGGAATTGGGGAAGGATTGGAATTCGAAAGGGCGAAAGGTGGGGGACCGACTATATTTCCATCCAAAGCAAACACCATTCGGTCTCTGACATGTGGGACGCACCAAATCCAGGCGCACGAGACGCGACTTCCCGCATTCGTTCCTTATGTGCAAATGACATCGAGTTATATAATATCTGAATTGTTATTGCTCAGAAGTTGTTGCATGGTGCAGTGGTTAAGGCATTGGCTCACCATCCTGGAGGCGTGGGTTCGATTCCCATAGCCGCAGTCGCTTTAATTTTTTGCCTTTTTTTTCTTTTATGCCTGGCGTACTAGCAATATGTTTGTACACTAAATGATGTCAAATGGATAATTGATGAATACCAAAGTTTCATATCTCATCAAGATCTACAATATTTATTTGGGTCATTTTGTCATTTTCACAAGTGGTAGTATCATGTAGTGCAAATTTGACAAGTCTCTAACATAGTTTCTTAAACCATGTGAGTGAATCTAGGATTAATGATCAATGTACACTACCCACTTTGTATGATTCAAACTTTCTCAAATGGATTAATGACTTAAAACATTTCTTATAATTTTTCATATGGATCATTTCCATGAATGTGTGTTGAAAGGTGACTATGACACAAGTCATATGGTCCTTCAAGTCTTATTCGATGCGAAACGAACATAACCAAGTGTAGGTTCTTTTAAAAATTCTGTAAAAAATTGTATAGTTAGGAAGTTGTAAGGTGAGCATATGGTCAAAATCTCAAAGCCAAATACATCTACACTGGACAGTTAGAAAATAGTGAAGAAAATAGGAAAGATTGGCCAAAAGGGGTTGGCTCAAAAAGTAACACATCAAAGTAGAGCAACATGATGTAAGTGAGTATTTGTGTCAGATAAGATTAATCTAAGAAATCAGAAAAAAAAACACCTGATTTTGACGTCATATGCCACATCTATACATGTTCAAAGTTTTTAGTCTAAATCAAAGAAAAAATAAGATGATCATCAAGAAATGTGGGTCCCGCAGATGATCATCAAGAAATGTGGGAGACGAACCGGGGAGTTAACCGCAGTTGATCTCATATGTGGGTCCCGCGGTCCCACTGCACAGTGTAACATTTTCCATCGGCCCCACAAGTCATTGAGAAAGGCAACACCACACCCTGTTCCCTTTCATTACGTTAGTCGAACCGGCCGCCCCCTTCGCCTTCCTCCAGTTCGATCTCCTCCCCACTCCTCATCTCCTCCTCATCTCAAGGAAAAACAAAAATCCCCATCTGCTTCCCCAGTCGTCGGCAGTTCGCAGCAATGGGTCCGAAGCGCCGCAGCCACATATCGCAGAGGCAGCCGCGCGACGAGTTCGGGCGTTTCTCGCGGAGCACGGCGTCGATCACCTCGGGCCCGTCGTCAACTCACCGCGCCTCCACGACCGCGGGGCCGTCGTCTACTCGCCGCGACTCCACGACCGCGGGGCCGTCGTCAACTCGCCGCGCCTCCACGACATCGGGCCCGTCGTCGACCCGCCGCGCCTCCACCACCGCGGGCCCGTCGTCAACCCGCCGCGCCTCCACCACCGCGGGCCCGTCGTCGACCCGCCGCGCCTCCACCACCGCGGGGCCGTCGTCGACCCGCCGCGCCTCCACCACCGCGGGGCCGTCCTCCACTCGCCGCGCCACCACCCGCCGCAATCCCTCCACCACCTCGGAGTCGTCGTCCACACGAGACGAGTCCACCACCTCGGATTCGTCGGCCGCCATGGACAAAGTGAATGTAGCGGGAGCCTCATCCTCGCGTGGCTATAACGTGAGTAATTTATCCTTTGTCTTTGCACTATCTTGACAGGTACGATCAAATAACGAAACAATTTGTTACGGCAACCTAGTACTCGTTATTGACTTGGAATTTGCAGACTGATCATAGTACTCTCGCATCTGTGAGCCAAAGAGGCAAAAAATCAAACACCTCGCATAGTTAATCATGTTTAAGAGCCTGAAAGCCTAAGGGCCTGTTTCGATACTAAGTTTTTTTCAAGGTTTAATACAATACCATGGTTTGTTGATTAGTCACGCAGCGTCCTATTTGCTTCATCAGTTGCTTCTAATTTTGATGACTGGCCTCACTAATGTAGACCTGAATTGATAAATTGCTCGGAATTTGCATCGTATTATCACTGTGATGTCTATGACCTGAGGATGGCTATAATTAATCAACATGCAGATTCAGCCTGGTAGTTATTGTTTATGGATAATCAAGCAATCTTGATGAATCATTCTATCTGTGCAAAGTTCTTTGTCGGCCTTGACAGCAGTATTTAATTTAAATAGATTTCTCTGTTATATCAGTTCTTCTTACAAGATTTGTTTTCGTGAAATGTCAGATCAGGGCTAAGTGTGAGGATCTTCGGAGTGTTTTGAAGGCAAAGGCAAAGCATAAAGAGGCAAGGGGATTCCTGATGAAGGGCAAGTAGCGGGGAAGTTAGGAGGCATGAATTAGACTAGTTAGGTATATAAGTATGCAAAATGTGTCTAATGGAAGCCTCTGCTTTATTTTGGTTAAATGCGAGGCATCAAGTTAGTATGTTGATCTAGATGAACTTGTAACATTTCCACTCAGTAGTATTTAAGGACTATTGTGGCAATAGCTAATCGTTGGTACTATTCAGACAGAGCTAAAAAATTGGTTTCTGTTTGCTGGTGGAGTTAGTAACTGTGTGTCGATGAACTGCTGGGTATCTAGTTGTTTGTGATATCTATTGTGTCGTATGTGTTTCAATGGCTTTTATCTCCAGATTTGATGCTTGTGTGTATCATTTTGATTTGATGCAATGTAATGTACGGACTTAGTGTATCATTTTGAGCTCAGGCATTTTATTTTCTTTTGATTAGCAGTACCCTTCACGAGATGTCATGCCTTCTCACCAGGGTTGGATCAAACTCCCCAAACTAAATATGCTCTCCATACCTGATTACTCATGCCTTCTCACCAGGGTTGTTAACTTTTCAAATATTAAATTTAAAGAGATCATCAATCAAATTCGGATGGGACCGGAATGACCAAAATAAAAGAGCAGTTTTAAAATTTTTGTACTGATTGAACAGTTTGGCTCTCTAACGCGTGGGTCCAGTGATGCTGGGGCCCACGAATCAGTGAATGATCGAGCAGTTTGGCTCTCACGCGTTGCGCTCGTACAGTTTTCCTTCCGAAAACTGGTTTCCTTCCGAAAACTGGTGAGGCGCCCTGTTTTTGATCGGAAAATTTTTTCCGCGCCATAGTACCGCGCCACACCATACCTGGGCCCACATTGAAGCCTAAACGCCGCATTATCCCCTTGACGGCTGCCTAATCCCATCGCAAAACCTAGATCGGTCAGTTGTATCGCCTTCCACCAGGCGGCGGCAAGGTGGTTCTCGCGATCGCCTTCCACCACCATGGCGAAGAGGCTGCCGACGTCGAGCGAGGCGGCAAGGGGAACCAAGTCGACGTCGCCATCATTGCACACTCCTTCGACGGCGTCGGCGATGCTCCCTCCGATGTTCACACCACCAACATCTGGGAGGCCGACTCCACCGGTCATGTCCAGCAGGCCTAGGGCAGCGGCTTCGCTCTTTGGGTCACCGACGTCCCGAAGGCCATCACGCAGATCAGACGACGAAGATGCCGGCGATGACAGCCAAGATCCAGAAGATTTGCTGCCTTCGTCTCAGGTCGAAACTGAGAACGGGTACGTTATTTCTGCCTTCAATCATACCCTGGTACTAATTACCGTAGCTTTCATGCTTCAGTTCCTGTGTTTGGCCGTTTGGTAGCTGCGAAATTAAGATCGACTGCAATGTTAGCTCAGGGTGCTGCTTTGGTTCTGCTGGAAGCCCCTGTTGCAGAACCGACATGGGGAATATATTTCCAATTTGGCTCTCGGTTGGCATTTTCCTGGTGGTATTGGCATCATCTGTCAATTGATGAAAATTAAGCTTTGCACGCACTAGAAGTTTTCTGCACACTGCCTGTTGGTTTTAGAGGCTACTTTAGATCCCGTTGGAGTGACAGTTAATATGACACAATATCTCCTGTACAAGTAGTTGAATTGGAAAGCAATTTCTGCTGTTGTAGATCCCACCACAACTAATGAGTTAAAATTGCTATGTCAGACTAGGTTAGTACCTTTACCTTTTCTATGAGAAAATGGGAACACAACTTTTGTGATAACATTAAGGATTTTTTACGTGCCACCCCAAAACTAGTACACTACTATCAGCCTGGTAAATTGAGTACATTATATGAAATATATCAAATATGATCACTTATTTGTCTTGTTTCTTTAATTCCAACAACTCTGCTCAGGTAATACTAAAACAAATTAAAAAACTAGACTTTAATTTGTTATTTACAAATATAAAAAAATCAAGATGTATTTTCTCTTGTCTGCACTTAAATATCCTCGTATGTAAAATAAATATCCATTCCAAGCACATGACTTAGCACTGAGTGTAGGTGTTATACGTTATCTCTTTCTTATATTTTGCTCTGCTTTTTCTGCTTTATTTCATTTTGCTATTGAGAGTAGATAGTAATTGGCGACACATATTCTATTTTGTTTTGCCATATTATCAATATATTGTGAGCTGATTTAAATGCTATCGGTAAATATGCAGAACGGACAATAGATGGCTCGTGTATGTCGTTTGCAAGGGGACTGAGGAGGGAGAACAATTTGTTAAGGCATTTCGAGTTGACAAGGGTCATATCACGCTTGCTAACTTGACAACAATGAAATCAAGGTTGGGGTATGGGTCCAGGGACTACATGTACTACAAGCAGAGAAGTGCTGATGATCCTGCGGCAGCAACACTACATGATATCGACTATGATGTTGATGCATTAAGAATGGTAGATAGTAACGAGGAAGAGAGGGAGCTCAGATTGGTATTCTCGAAGAATCCATTACCAGACCGATGTGTGGCCATAACACCAATTAAATCCAAAACAGTTTGCTCAGATGCTGATGAAGAAGAAGAAGTGGACGAATCAGAATTATATGCATACAAAGATTGGCTACATTATCTGCATACAAGGGACGAAGCCATGGGTGAGTTATGATGCATCCCAATACGTACATGGTTTTTTCAATGCACTTATGACTGATATTATCATTCCTTTTCAGAGTTTGAAGATATATACAGGGAGGACACAATCAAGACATACGAAGAATGGTTGGAGGTTGTAGGAAAACTTGATGACATCAGTAATATCCCTCTCCTAATTGTCAAATAAATTACC